GAAGGGAGTTCAGGTGGAATTCCCTTCTGTATGTTATGAATGTGTTTTATTGCCATCGGTTAATAAAAAACTGCTTTTGGCCAATGGCTTCAAAGAATATATCAAGGCTGGAATAAATATATAGAGAGAGTGGGTGGAATTAAGGAGATGCCATGTAGCTGCCAAACCTCACTGTTAGGCTTCAACCTTGTGATGATGCACAGATTAATAGAGATGGGTTAATTTAAGATATAAGAGTTATCTAGCAATACACCTAAGAGATTGACCAAGCAGTGTTTTAATTAATACAGTTTCTGTGTGATTATTTTGGGTCTGGGAGGCTGGGAAACAAACAAGCGGCCTCCTACTATAGGGAGGGGAGTGGAGAAAAATATAGAGCTCTATAAAGACAATAAAAAATAAATAAATCTGAGATTTAAACCTGTAAATAGTTTTATCCCAAGTTAGCATAGCAAATTCCTTACTAATAAAATTCCTCAAAAATTCTTGCCTCAGATGAATGTGTCAGGCTTTGCTGATTTCCCATGGGAGACCTTACCTTTTCTGAGGTGTGGATGGGAGGGAGTAAACTCGGAGGAGGTATGGTGGAGTGAGAGGAGGGAAGAAGGGGCAACTGTGGTTGATATGTAAAAAATGAATAAAAAATTTTAAAATGAGGAAAATTTCCACAAAGAAAAAATGGATAAAAGTTAAATTAAAATTTAAAAAAAAATCTAAAATAGTCTGCAGAGAAAAGGATCAGCTGACCCAGGGGAAATAGGGACAGCATGAGAACAAGGCCACAGAATCGACTAAATGGGACTCTTGGGGGCTCTCAGATTTCAGTGAACCTGTAGGTGTCTGATCTAGGTCCTTTGCTGAGTAGTTTGGTGTTCTTGTGAGATTCCTAACAGTGTAATTGGGGGCTGACTCTGACTTTTGCATGCGTATGGGTTCCTTTCCCTCACATTGGGTTGCTTTGTTCAGCCTTGATATGATGGTATGTAGCTGGTATTATTGTAACATATTATGCCATGTTCACTGATGTCTCTGGGAGGTCTACTCTTTTTGGAGAAGAGACCAGCTGATGAAGGGGTGGATCTGAGGGAGAGTGGATGTATGGAGGAGAAACTGGAGTCAGGAGTTAGAAGAAACTATGATCAGGATGAAATATATATAAGAAAAAAAAGTGATACTAAAGAAATTTCATTCAAAAATGTACAATGACTTTAAAAGACATTGAAAAAATTCTATCTCACTATTCAGCATGTGAATATGAACTTCTATATATACAACACTATGTTCCCTGGGTAGTGACAATGAGGGAAAGCTGGCAATTGACCAACCCATCTACCACCCAGGCAAAGAACCAGGGCTATGAGTCGACCCACCCCAAGATCCACAGAATCTATGAACTGTTGGAGCATATGAAGGGGACTAAGCTAGAGATCCAAAAGAGAAGGATCTCCATGACACAGGACAACAGAATATCCGAAAAAAGCCCGAGTGAGAGCCCATTAGCAGCGATGTACCAGAAACCAGAAGCCTCAAGTCCGACCAATGACTCAAAAATGCTTGCGTCTAAGGATGAATGGATGGGATATGAGAGAACAAGGAGAGACGTGGGACCCAAGGCATGATGTGAAATTCACAAAGAATCAACAAAAGTTCAAAAAACAGTAAGATAATCATGAAGCCCATGAAGCATAGATTTTATACTATTTCCTAGGGCTTTGAAAAAATAGACAAAAAAAAACCCATTCTATAAGTTACTAAATGATGATTAAGCCTTTAAAATGAAAATTCTGAATTCAGTGAAATGTGGGCTATTTTATAGTCAATTTTTCTTATTCTTGCTCCATATTCTGATAGTCATTAGATTTTAATCCCAAATATTCACTCATCTACTAGGTTACCTTTTGCTATTTTACATGACTTCTCGATTTTTTTTTCTCTGGTTTCACTTCAAATGACTTTCAGAGATAAATCATACATTACAATAAAACCTAAGACTTTCCTGAGTTTGGGGGTTGTTAATTTATATTTTTAGTGCCAAAAAGCAAAACTAAAATTAAGTCAGAGTTTAAAGTTAGTTTCATTATTTTCAGATAACATAGTCTCACTGTGTGAGAACTTCCAATTGATCCTTATATTCAGGGACCTTGATACCCTTCACTACTTCAACATTCTGTCTTTAACTGCAGCACTCAGAAAAGTCATTGTGTTTCAGCCAGCATCATAGTCATACTCTATGGAAACTGTGTTCTGCTCCCTTAACCTTTCATCAGTCAGTCAGCACCAGTAACCAATAGAGGACCTGAAACTATTTCGTTAAACGGTTTAACCACAGGTTTTCAGATGAAAAAGCCAGTAGGACTTACCGCTCTAAATATGTAAAGCTCATCTTTTAGATTTTGATCTTGTTAATTTCAGATAAGTCTTGTTTTATCATTGCCTTTTAATCTTGTTTTACCAGTGCTTACAGTTTATTATTCTCTTTTAGGATTCCAGCTACACCAAACATGTTGAAATGACACGACACACTGCCTGTAATGTTAGTTTTATAACTCCTTATATGCATTTGATTTTTGATACACCATCCCCACAAATTTCAATCTCATTTGAAAGGTGATTGGCTACCCCAGAACTATTTTTTATGCATGCCACCTTTCAGGATTCAAGCTCTTTACCTTAGAGGAAGGTACGCAATTATATGAGGAGAAATGTCATACTACACCTTCTAGCAAAGTCAAGAATTACTCCGGTCAAAACTACAGAAAACATGGCGACCACAGCTTAACATTTCACACATTATGGCTATCAGATTTATCTCAAAGCTCTTTGTAGTACAGCACTTACTAATTACTGAAATGGTTTTCAAAAAATAATTATGTGAGAAATATAAATAAGATGAAACATCAAATATTGACAACTGAAGGGAAAATAGTTGATTTCTTTTTACACTTAAGCATTTTTACAAGGTGAAATAAATATAACTGTTGACTTAGTTACTATAAAGGCAAAGCAGGAGATTCACTTGAGTGTCCCAGGGGTTAGTTGCCTGCCCAGGAGAGAGCAGATACCTTCAAGCACAAAAAGAAAACAAAATAAGACATAAAAATATCTATAAATCTTTAATTAATATTTTTAAGTGTATTTGTTTCTAACTGGTTAATAACTTCAACTGTACAGTTGAACTTTCAATTTCATAATTTATTTTGGTATTTAACTGCAGAATATTAGCTAGAAACTAGTGAACATATATCAGTTGACATATTAAATTTGCTTTATGTTTATTCTAATCAGGAGTTCATTATGTGGTTTCTTGTCCTAATCATCTATCTCTGGAGAATATATGTCTAAAATTAGAAAGAGATCTATTTTTAAGAACAATGTGATACTCAGCACTGATATGAGTTTTTAACATAATGCATTCAAATTGTAATCTCTGTTTGAAATATATCATTCTTTTCAGTCAAATTTTAAAATAAAAGGATATTTGCTCATTTAGAAATAAATGCTAATTTAATTATAATCTAAATGAATATATATATGAAACCTCTCATCAACCATAGTAATGCATATTGAATGATTTGATCCAATTATAACATTTAATTGTGAAAAGGATAGTGCCACATAAGAAATTCTGGAGGCTTAAATGGAAAATGGTAAACATTTTCCGGGAAATGTTTCAATAATAAAACAAAACAAAAAACTTGAGAATAGTTCCTATTGTACAAAGAAACTATTTTATCTCTGGACTTGGATCATTTATTTTTCTTTTAGAAATTCTATTCCTGTGTTTTTGTTCTCCTAAACCTGGTCTTTATGTCCCCATCCACCATGTTCAGCCTATATCTTCTTTTTCCCTGTGAGTAAATTAATTAAAATATCTGTTCATGTGCAGGATATGACATCCCACATTCAGAAATATTATTGTACTTCATGCATAATAAAGGTGATTCCCTCCTTGCAAAATCCCAAATTACTTTCCCAGCCTGTGTTTCAGTATTCACAATGGGCTCTGTGTAGACTCATTTCTCATTTAACTTTCTCTCTCTCTCTCTCTCTCTCTCTCTCTCTTTCTCTTTCTCCCCCTCTCCCTTCTCTTCTCTCCCCTCTCCCTTTCTCTCTCTCTCTTCCCCTCCAAATCCCATGTTATTTGTCACTCCAGTCTGACTTTTATCACCAATCCGTTCTTTATTAATCTTTACAGTTATTATTTCTTTTTAAATCTAGTCAAATAATAAGTCTGCATTTTATACTTTTGTGAACTTGAGGACGAAATTACATATCCCTGCCAATATGCTTTGCTACAATGTCGCTGGAGCATCATACACCTGGGAGTCCACCATACAGTCTCTGCATTTACCAATGTTTTCATATTTACATGTACAGTATTTAATACTTAAGACACACTCGTAAACAAACATATATTTATCATGAATCTATTTATTTAACACACTTACTCTGCACATAATATCATTTCTTCTTTTTAAGTAATGGACTTTTCCTTATACAATTTTAGTTATGAACTTGTTTTCTTAAAAGGGAAAGGGTGCCTTAATTTGTAAAAAATGGCAAGTGTGATACTAGTATGAAGTATGAAGATATGTAATCTCAGTTTAATTCCTGTCTTACTGATTGGCCTCTTACATGTAGAAAGTTGTTCTTTTAACAAACCTACCACTTGTTTGCCCATATCATGGCCTAGTAGACATTTAGCATATCTTCAGTTTTACTGCAAATTCTTATTACCCTCAGTCACAGAAAGAAATAAAAATCAATACTTTGTTCATGAGCAGGCATCAATGTAAAATTCAACAATTTGTGTTTCCAAAGCGAGAAAAAAAAACTAAGTACACAGATAAAATTCATATTTGAAAATATAGAAAGCACTATAAGATAATTAAAATGTGTTTATTGTGGAGGTCTTACTGATATTCCTTCCTGGCTAGAGAAAATCTTTAGTTACGCGTTCCATTGTGCCAAGGACAGACTGGTCCTTTCCAGCCACTTACCCTCTGACAGCATGAATAAGTCTCAGTGATGGATAGGCAGTCCGCACTTTCAGCTTATTCTTAAGGATTAATGCATTAACCCATTCCACGTGCTTCTCTCCTCCTTTGACCATGAAAGCAGGGATCCAAAGGACACTGTCATTCAGCATGGAAAGTCTATGCACAAATTTCTCTCTGTCACTCTCATTTCGAAAGCCTCCAAATGCTCTTTGCACAACTGATGGATTCATGGTAATAAAATCTGATTTAGTCCCCACATCCGCAGCAAACTCCACCACGGGAGCTAGATTACACCTGAGGAAAAATTAATGGAAAAACGAAAAATAAATATGAAAAATTCACTCGTAAAATGATGTGAATGAAAAGAATGAGGAACTAGCAAGTTTTTATCAATAAGCATATCAAAACAAAACAAAAATCTTTCCAAATAGACTGCCTGACAAAATTACATGTTCAATCAACAAAATATTAGAAATATTACTTTCAATAAGGAAGTTAACTCCCAGTAGAGCTCCAGTTCATCTATTATATTAGATTATTTTTGTCTTCACAAATCTGTATAATAGAAGTTCATAATAAATGGATTTATAAGGATAAATCTACAAGGGCTTTGTTGTTATGCAGCAGGAAATCTAAGAGATATGTTGTTCACGTAAAGAAAACATAATGTACTTTCTGGTTGGCTCTGTCCTGTTTGTCGGGCTTGAGTCTTTTCAACACCTTTATAATTATTGCCGAATAGTTTGACTTTTTAATACTCTGCACTAAGGGAGTCTATACCATTTGTGTGATACTGTCCATTACCTTCTATAGACCTATATATTGAATAAAATAACAAAATAAAGTTATCTTTTTCAGCCCGACATTCCGAGATTTTAGATGTGTAGGAGAAATGTCCTCTCTAATCCTTCTAAGGCTACCCTGTAGATTCTTGCATTCCAGGGTCTTCTGCATCCCTGGTTTCATATCAAGGAAGGAAATAGGATATGTTTTTCTGATTTTTACCATGGAATCACGATGCTTTACAAAGAATCTACACCTAACTTTATTCATGCAGCTTGATCTCATTCTCATATTGAAAGACCATGTAGGAAAGTATCTTGAATACATGCCCAACTGATTTGTGATGCTGTACTGAATATGTCATATTAATCATGGATCAAGAAACCCTTAATACACTTATTTTAGTTTGTTGGAATGCATGTTTCAATTAGTTTGTAAAAGAACACTTAGATTTTCTTCAAACAAGGCTTTTATATTCTGTCAAAGAAAAACATCTTTCAAATGCATTCTATCTATGCATCCATGAAAACACACCTGCCTATATCTAAAATACAGCTTCACTTTTTTTGTAAATCCCTGTGAAAGAATGCATATAGAACTTATAGTTCATTAGTTTTACAAAATTCTTTATTTCTCTTCCATGAATTTGCACATCAATTAAATTCCAAAAAACTTAAATCTTAATTAAAATGGAAATTGTGTATCCTACTGTAGAAACATTGTCTTAGATATAAGCCTATATCTCTCTTAATTAACATATGTTATCTCATAGATCTCTTACAACTTTACCTATAACAATAGATACTTTACATCTCACACTATTAGGTAAAGTCTTTATTACCCAGGGTGAGCTATTAAGAGAGGAAAGGAAAAATATTAACACTTAATATTTGCATATTAGAAATTAAAGGTTATATTTTAATATATATTTTTATGCACAATGTGTCATATAATAGAGATTCTATCTTTTCTTAGTCCGTGTCACTAATTCAGTTGAACTGTAAATCACTTCCTTTATAATGTAGACAGTCAGAATAGGATAGCCCTGAACACTGTTGCACTCGGAAAAGAAGAAATTCCCAGGACGATGTACAAAAGAATAGAAAGTATTTAATACTCTAATGTGAACCATTGTCAAAAAATATGTCATGAGAATTATGGCATACTGAAGATCTAACACCTGATATTATTTTGTTTGAATTTACTGGGTAACAGGGTCTCCATGTAGCCCAATTTGTCTTCTAGCACCTATAGTTTTAGCCTTATATGTCTACACTATCAAGGGTAACCATGCGCTCCAGATCCTTCTGCCACTACCTTTCAACGGCTAAGACATCAAATGTCCACAGAAGCATCTGAAATACTAACACCTGTATCACACCAATATTTAGAATATCTAACATGTTAATCAATCTAATCATAATGTGAATTTGGATCCTGTAGGGAAAAGGTTATTCTAAGGGTTATTATTATAGATGCTACCTCGAGTAACATCCATGATCACAATTTAACAGTAAAGCTGACAAGATTCTGTGAAGATAGATGACACCATACATATCTTACTGCTTAAAAAAAAAGAAAAAAATCCTACAAAATCTCAGAAGATGCTTTGTAGATAGCATCTTTGCTTCATGATACCAATAATATAAAAGTAATCAGAAACAATTCTGCTGAAGAGAGGGAAAGTTTTTACTGCTGAATCATCTACTGAGTGAGAAAGAGTTATGATTATTCTAGGCTTATATTTCCTTATAGCCTAAAGACTCTTGTCCAATCCCATAATTCCTCAGCATGCACTATTTTAACATGAACTAAACATAGTTCTGACACACAATTGTGTGGACATGTACCTGATAAATGAACATAATATTTAAGTATATTATAAATTCTTACCCATAGACCCATAGATTAATGCATCTCTCAACCCTCATTGGAGAAATCTCTATGTGAAGCAGACAGTCATTAACACAGAGACCCACACTGGGACAAGGCACACAGAATAAGGAACTGTGGTAGGCTTAGTCCTAAATGAATCATATATGTCACACCCCTCCCTCCTAGCCTTAATGATCATTTTGAAAGAAGAGGAAAGGTTATAAGGTCTAGGGATGATGGGTAAATACTAGGAAGTTTTGTCCTGCTGATACAGTAGGAAAGATGCAATATGAAGTTAGAGGAATTTTAACAGCATCAATAAACTCTATGAAATCTGAAGCGAGATCCAATCCCACGGGAAGAGGAAGAGTGGACACAAATTCCTACCCCGGGAGCTATAGCCAATTGATAGATGCTGGGGGTTGTGGTGGTTAGTTCTTTTGAGAGTATTGCACTTTGTAAGTCTACTACCCTGCGGTGGAAGATTACGTATCCAACGACGCTTGTTTGAGACTAGGGTTGATCTTAAAGAATAAACAACATGTTTAATGCAAAAAAAAAAAATGAAGTTCAATGAGGAAGGTGATGACTTAAAGAACATTGTATCTCTGTGAATGCTAAAGTCTGTATCCATAAATTCTCACTAGCTTGACTGTCAAAGGGCATTGAGACCTGCTGAAGTGGGTGGAAGAGAGCTTATCCACACAGAAAGAGCTATAGGGGTGCAGAGTGGGAGAAACAGTATTCTCTGGAAAGAAGCATTTCAGTTGGTAATCCAGTTCCAAATGCTGAGCTCTGAACACATACATATGCGTAAGCATCATACAGACTGAGAAGGTTATATCTAGGAATATATGTGCATATATATATGCACATAAAAAATTAACAAAATAGGTGATATGATATGAAAGAAGAATAAGGAGGGTTATATGGGAAGGTTTGGAGAGTGGAAAGGAAAATGATGCCAAATATTATAATCCCAACAATAAAATTAAAAAAAGAACAACTGGAGATGGTAGAATAAAAAATAAATTTAACCATGGGATTTTAACAGCTTGAGCATAGACCAGTCAGGCTTCAAGAAGAATGGTAATTTCAGTAAATATGCTGAAAATAAGGAGACAAAAAGATACACCATAAAAAGTAGCTTATGTTGGCTATAAAAGGCCATTTTGTCACTGTTGTGGAAGTAAGTAGCATGTTTCCCCCCACTGGAAACAAAGAATAGAACCATGTCTATATGTAGCTGGCAAATTACTATGCAGATAAACCAGATATCTAGTCAAATAATTTGGTGAAGATCACATATTCAAGTAAAATATTAAATAAGCTACTGTAATGAACCAGCAGTGATTCCCTGCAGCAGTCCAGCCAACTAGTTAGCCTAGATGCTGTAAGCAGCAATGTTGCTGATAAAGCAAGACTGTAACTGTTTCTCAATACAAAGTTTCAGTCTTTTTAATTATCTTCTTTGAAAGTGAAGAATGTGGGATTAAACAAAGTGCCTCAATAAGTTATGGGGTGCTGTGTGGTTTACTCAGTTTATTCTTAACATTGTAAGACAGAGATGGCCAATTTCAGAACGAAAGATCTTTATAAGCCAAACTACTGTGAAGATATGATCAGTTAATAGCAATGAGTTCCTTTGTCTTTAATGAAATTATTTTCGTATTTCCAAATTATTCTTAACAAATAAAAAATTTAAAAAATGCCCAAACTTGGAAGCCTTGGCAAGCTTATTCTTAACTTATAAATTCTCTAATTCTACATTATTGGCACAGCGTTTGCAGGAATGAGATGGATCCAACTTCATTGAAGTATTGAACTTTCTTCTGTAGCCCCATACTGTAAATGATTGTTTTTCTATAATCCTTATGTGAAAAGAAAGTGCTTCTATTTTTCAAGGCTAAATAAATTATCTTATAATCCACAAAGAAAGTAATGATTGCTGCATGTATGAATTCTAAAGGATCATGGAACTCCCAAGCAAGAAATTACTTATTGGATTTTTCATCATTCTCAACAAGTCTCTTATATTATGTTTCTATATTCTAAATAAATAGGATATCTCTCATTCATTCATTCGTCGAGAACTCACTGTTCAAACATAGCACTATGCTCAAAATGCTTCCCTGGCCGTTTTAATGGTCATGTTGTTCTTCAAGGATATGATTAATCCCAAATATAATGTGGACAGATATTATCAATACTGTCAGCAAAAACTTGGACATTCAGTTAGCCACTGTTTATTCACTCAAGTGTTTCTTCTTTCAAATGTACAGACTTACTCACTGAAGAGGCTTAGCTGAAACATGATGTTCTGTGTATCTGGAAGGTGTTAGTTAAATACTTATACAGGGTATATTAGATTCAAAGAAGTGGCTCTGATTGGGTTGTATTTGGCTATTTTCCACCCCTGTGGTTAATATTCAAACAAGCTCTTATATATAATATATATATATTTTTTTTGCTGTGGCCAAATCCACCTACCTTTCTTTGAGCTAACATTAATCTCTCAGTCATAGCTAGTGTTAACATTTGTCAAACCATATCTGTCCCATAAAGGAAGCTTTTCAGGCTGTCTGCAATCTTCTATCTTAGTTCTCAACTTGAAGAGTCAAGCAAACGGACAGAGA